GAACAGTTTTTGATTGCACTGTTTTCAGATTCTGCTAATTAAATGTTAACTTCATGTGTCACTTACATTCCTGATCTGCATTTTGGAAGTGTGATGATTTTAAATACTAAAACAGTAGATCCATTTAAACTCTTTAAGTCATAACTTAGGAGTTGCTGTGTACCAAGGTAAAGTGACAATAGGATTTTTGGTGAGTCTTCCTTCGAAGATTTTCTCAAGGGGAGTCCTGGTTGGAACATGGACAATGTATATGTCATTTCTTTGCCATTGGAATAGAACACCAGCATGTGAATAAAGAATGATTGAATCAATCTTAAAGAAAAGATTTATGTAGTGGAAGATTTGTATAACATCTTTAACCAGTGAACCATAAATTTAACCATAAATTGTTACACCCTGTCTCAATTAACTTATTTTTCCAGATATTGTTTATAGTGATCTTTTTTCGAGCATCCCTGAGGATGGCTATTTATTCTAAGACCTTTCTCTAACAAAAAAAAGAGTTAGACTTTTATAATGCGTTGTTATATCTCTCAGAATATGTGCCCTTTATAAGTAATTAACTTAATTATCCACTTAACCAATCCATGCCTTTCCAAAGATACTAGGCTATCGTCAATACATTTCTTTGCGATTATCTTGAGACAACCCTGATAAGCTGTTTAAAAGTTAGTTTTTGTCTTTCCTCCTGAAAAACATAAGAAATGCTCCAAAAGCAATATTAGTTGAAGATGAAACAGGATGAATCTAGGAGTAGCCATTAAGCAATACCAAGTCAAAGGGAGAGAATTAATTCAAAGGACATATTGCATTGATTCTTTAATCTCTATGGAACAAGATTTGAAATAAAGTAACAGCATGTTTGATATTTAGATACTTGGAGGATCAAAATAAGAGACTCATTTATGTAATGACCTTATACAAACAACGAAAGTCCAAAATTATTAATGTAAATGGATGTAGGAGGCTGGAGACTGTTTATATTTGGAAGATGCCTGGGGATCACCACCTCCGAATTTCCATCCAAATTAGACACAATCTCAATTTAAATATTATTGCTGTTTCTTCATTGTTAGTGGGTCAAGTTTTCAGAGCCCACAAACGATAAAAATCTAAAATGGAGAGAGATCAGAGTTAACGTTTCAGGTCTGGTGCCTCTTCCTCAGAACTCTGTCAGAACCCAAACTCTCTCAGAACCCAAAACATGAACTCTGATTTCTCTCCACAGATACTGCCTGACCTGCTAGGCTTTACCAGCAATTTCTGTTTATGTTCCTGATTTCCAGCATCCACATTTCTTTTGGTTTATAAAAATTCTAAAATTCTCTACTTAAACAGTTTGAGGTGAGGGAACGGTTTAAAGAAGATGTGCGAGGAAATGGTTTTTCATGCAGAGGATGGGTAGGTGCCTGGAACGTGCTGCCAGGGGAGCTGGTAGAAGCAGATGCAATAGCAACATTGAAGAGGCATTTAGACAGACACATGAACAGGCAGGGAAAGAATGGATACAGATCATGTGCAGGCAGATGGGATTAGTTTAGAATGGCATCATGGTAGGTACAGATATGGTGGGCTGAAAGGCCTGTTCCTGTGCTGTACTGTTCTTTGTCTCTGAAAGCAGTATGGATGTATCTATGTCCCACTGACTGCAGTGTTTTAAGAAAGTGATTCAACATCTTCTCATTGGCAATTAATGCTGGGCAATGTACGCTGGCTTTGCCAGCTATGTCCATATCCTGTCAATGAATAGAAATAATTAGACATAGTCCTGTTTTCAACTGACTGTTACAGATGATATTTTCTAGCAGATATTTATGAATAGTCAGGAGCCAGAGTCTTGGTTCCATTTCCCCCTGCCCCTCCTTAGCTCTGGGATTGAATGGCCAATTGTAGCAACTTTCAAGCTGAAGATCTGGAAATGAACCTAGTATATTCTAAATTTCATGGGTCAATTAACATTCTGAAGCATGCTTACTAATTAAACCATCAGCAAACCATAACAGCTTCATAGATACCAAACAGAGTCCTCTACTTTTCTTTTGCCTGGTAAGGCCTATCTCATTTAAAGAACATGGCTACGATCCCAGCTGATGTTAATACTAGACAAGTCAGACCTCGGAGTCAAATATGGCTTCCTAGATCCTAACTGTTTTGTAAAGATGGAGGTTTTATTACTGAACACATTCACAAAGGTCTGCCAGTGTACGTTTAGCACAGAATTATTCAACAAGAAATAACAGGAACTACATTATACTAGATAAAATGGTTGGAAATATTTCAATAGAGACATCAGAACTTCACACTGTTTTATCTCCAACAAGATCCTTGCACACACCCACTCTTAGCAAAGAGTCATCACTATCTCCACACTAATTCTTCTCACACAGGTCAGTTTCACTGACCCCATTTTTCTCCAGTGAATTTCTGTGTATGCACTAGATGCTATTTAGCTTCAGCTGATAACTCTTCCTGAGACACCTAAAGCAAATTACAAACTAAACTCAGTCTTATTTTAACTTCAGACCAAACACAAATTCCATAAATTCAGTTTCCAACAGTTCCTGTCAAATTTCTTACAAGGGAGTTTAACACCTCAGCATCCACTCTCTATCATACCCACACACAGAGTGACTGATTGACTTTCTGAATTGTTCTTTCTGATCATTTCTTGTCTATTATAATCTATGTTTTCTTCTGTGTGTCAGTGGACAACAACATCATTTTTTACATCTTTTTAACACACTGAACTACTCACACCCAGGTCTTCATTTCAAAAACCTCACTAAGGTAATGTAAATAAACAAGCTTCCAAACCCCTCTGTCACCAAACTCCCGAGGACTCTAAAGCCATGTCTCCACTTCTTAAAACAAAATAAAATACAAAATATAAATTCAACCTAACATTATAAATTGTTTCCAACAACACTTATTTTCATAAGGTGTCAGTGTTTCGCAGAATAATGTTAACTCAGGACCTCTTGTACATTTCCAATGGGGCCATAGTTCCCAGTTTAAAACATACAGGTCAATCTGTAACCGTAATTTATTGTGGTTATACTGTTATTGTGCATTATACAGTATAGCCACCAGAAGGATTGTTAAGTACTTTCTGAGCAAGTCAATTCTTCAAATCTTTCAAAATAAAACTTTTCTTATCAGTCCAAACTGTTTTAATTTATCAAGATATTGATGCAGTCAGGTTTTGCACCTATGAGATGACAGTTGATTCAATATATAGTTGATCATTTCACTACAACACCAAGTAAAATACATACACTGAACTTAACAAATTTGCTCATCATTTTCTGATGAAGGGACTAGGCCCGAAACGTCAGCCTTCCAGCTCCTATGATGCTGCTTGGCCTGCTGTGTTCATCCAGCTCTACACCTTGTTGTCTCAGATTCTCCAGCATCTGCAGTTCCTACTATCTCTTGCTCATCTGTTTTTCTCTTATCTTTGCCCACTCCACAGATGGAAAATATTTAAAGTTCTTTCAAGGAATGTAGGATAAAACTCAAAAGTATGAGGAGCAAAGCCTGAAGCTCTGTTTGTCCACATGACTTTCACACGCCCTCTTAAAAAAAATCTTACTTTTCTCTAACATTTAGCTAATGGTAGCTGCTTTGATATGTATTCAACTGGAGCACAAGCAGCTGATAGGGTTATAAGGGATGGGATGGGTATGGCATGAGAAGCATGGAATAGAATGGGTTAGAGATATAAAGGACTCCTGTTGCAGTAAAGAAACTAATTTCGATGTGGATATTTTCCAGATCTTTGCTAAAGTTAAATTACTTTATTAGAGGAGGGCTATTTTCAGTGGATTAAGAATGGCCCAGTCCTGAATAAGTTGGAATCAAAGATTAGAGGCAAAACAATAACTGAATAATGATGCCTTTAAAAAGAACACTAGTAAGTCCTCATTTAATGTCGCAGTTGTGTTCCTGAAAATTGTGACTTTAAATGAAATTACTTTAAGTGAAGCATGGTTTCCTATAGGAATCAATGTTAAAGCCAGAGCTAGGTTTCTGTGGACATTTCTAACAGAGAAAAAAACAACATACAGGTTAAAATGCTGAACTGTATCTGTTTATTCCTAGCTGAGATATCTCGCAAAACCAATCACTAAATATAAAAGTAACATTACAGTGAGGTATTTAAGGATTTTAAGAGCACAGAACAATTTTAAAACATTGTTGAAATGATGTATAATACTAGATGCCTACATTAATAAATAAAGTAACAATGATAAATTTAAAAATATAAAAGAAATGCAATATAAATGCAAGTACAGGTACTGTAAATACACCACATGTTAAAATTGCACTCTCCTGAATGAGTTTAAATTGACCAGGTTCCATCTAGTGGCAGAAACTGGTTGGTGCAGACAGAACAGCGGGCTGGAGAATTTGCAAACATTTCAAATTTTTCCAGATGCTGCCAGACCTGCTGAGTTTTCCCAGTCTTTTCTGGTTTTGTTTATTTCAGATTTCCATTTATTTCAGATTTCCAGCATCCACAGCTCTTTGTTTTATTTTATGCGAACTTTTCACCCTGTTTCAGAAATAGTATTTCGAAAAATCCAGTCACAGCAAACCAATCAATTTAATCTGAAAGATGAAATAATAATCTGGTACAAAATTAATTCACTTGCACAATTATGACACTAATGTCATTTAGGGAAGGAAAGTGCCATCTTTACCTAATGTGCAGTCCATGTGAATCCATATTCCACAGAAATGTGTGGTTGACTCTTGACTGCCCTCTGACATGGCCTAGCAAGTATCAACACTAGAAAGTCACAAAAAAGAATCAAAACTGGATGGACCACTTGACATCAATAAGCATTGGAAATGATAACAGCAAACAAAGCCTTGTGAACCCCGTAAAGTCTTCTTTACTAACATCTGGGACTAGTACAAAAATTGGGACAGCTGTCAAGTAATAGCCTGACATAGTCACATTCACAGATTCATACCTGACACACATGTCCGAGACGATGTCATCATCTGTGGTTATGTCCTGCCCCAACAGCAGAATAGGCAAAGCAGAGGTGGCAGCACACGGGTATAAGGTTGGAAGTTTCTCTCAGAATCCTCAACATCGACTCTGAATCCTTGAAGTCTCATGGCATCAGGTCAAACATGGGCAAGGAAGCCTGCTGCTGATTACCATATACTTTACCTCCTCTTACCAACCTGCCCATACTCCAGCTGATGAATCAGTACTCCTTCATGATGAACACTGTTTGGATGAAGTTTGAGGGTGAAAAGGGCATGGAATTTACCAGGGTAGGATTCAGTGTCCATCACCAAGAGTGCTACATAACCATCAAAGACGCCTACCGCTCAACCACCCCGCCCACACTTTGGAAAATCCGACCACAGCGCTGTGCTCCTCCTTCCAGATAACAAGCAGAAGCTGAAACGGGAGAATCCTTCATGAAAAGAAGTACAGTGCTTGTCCGAGGCAGCAGAAGACCGTCTCCGGGACTGCTTGGACTCAGTGGACTGGACCAAGTGTTCAGCAGAAAACCTAGACAAGTGTGCCACCACATTCATGGACTTCATTAGCAAATGCATGAAAGACTGTTTACCAAAGAAGTCGATCTGAGTATTCCCCAACCGTAAACCTTGGATGAACCAGGAAACCCACTCCCTACTGAAGACCAGGTATGTAGCATTGAATTCGGGTGGCCCAGAGCAATACAGAAAATTCAGATATGACCTCTGCAAAGCCATCAGGGAGTCCAAGAGGCAGTACCAGACCAAGTTAGAGGCACAGACCTACCAAACGACTCCCGGCATCTATGGCAAGGCCTAAATGACATTACAGGATACAAAACAAAACAGAGTAAGATAGCGGACAATGACACATAACTCCCTGACACGCTCAATACTTTCTACGCTCGGTTTGAGCAGAATACCGCCGGTGTGGGGACACCTGCCCCGACAGCCCCACACACACCTGCTCCCTCTCTCACCACTTCAGACGTCAGATCGGTCTCCCTGGGGGTCAACCCAAGGAAAGTGATGGGCCTGGACGGTGTCCCCGGCCGAGCACTCAGATCCTGTGTGGACCAACTGGCGGAGGTATTCATCGACATCTTCAACCTCTCCCTCCTACAAGCCAAAATCCCCACGTGCTTCAAGAAGATCGCCATCATCTCCATACCCAAGAAAACACATGCAATGTGCCTGAATGACTACAGCGCAATAGCTCTGACTTCCATAATCAGGAAGTGCTTCGGGAGTCTGGTCAAGGCCCACATCAAATCCAGTCTCCCAGTCCGCCTTGTTCCCCTACAGTTTGCCTACCAACATAACAGGTCCACAAAGGATGCCATTTCCCTAGCCCTGTACTCACCCCTGGATCATCTGGACAACAAAGACACCTACATCAGATTCCTGCTCATTGTCTACAGTTCCACCTTCAACACCATTATCCCCTCCAGACTGATCTCAAAACTGCGTGACCTTGGTCTTGGCTCCGCCCTCTGCAACTGGATCCACAGGCCACAATCAGTGATGATAGGTGACTGCATCTCCTCCACAATAATACTCAACACTGGAGCGGCCCGCTCCCCCCCCAAGAATGCATCCTCAGCCCCCTACTGTACTCCCTGTACACCTATGACAGTGTTGCTAAATTCCAAACAAACGCCATCTACAAGTTCGCTGATGACACCACCGTAGTGGGACGGATATCTAACAATGATGAGTCAAAATACAGAAGGGAGATAGAGGACTTGGTGACGTGGCACAATGAAAACAATCTGTCACTCAACGTCAGCAAAACTAAAGAGCTGATCATCGACTTCAGAAAGAAAGGAGGAGAACATGCCCCCATCTACATCAAGAGAATTAAGGTTGAGAGGGTGAAGAGCATCATGTTCCTTGGAGTGACGATAGCCGAGGAACTGTCCTGGACTTCCCACGTAAATGCGACAGTCAACAACGGCTCTTCTTCCTCAGGTGGCTCAGGAAATTTGGCATGTCCATAAGGACCCTCACCAACTTCTACAGATACACCATTGAAAGCATACTGTCCGGGTGCTTAGCGGCCTGGTATGGCGACTGCTGTGCCCAGGAACATAAGAAACTACAGAAGGTGGTGAGCACAGCCCAGACCATCACAAAAGCCAACTTTCCATCCATGGACTCTATTTACATGGCTTCCTGCCATGAAACAGCGGCCAACATCATGAAAGAGCCATCGCACCCTGGTAATGACCTCCCACAACCTCTTCCGTCAGGCAGAAGATACAGAAGCCTGAAGGTTCAGGAAGAGCTTCTTTTGGGCCGCTTTCAGACTGCTAAATGGACTCTAGCCTCAAATAATGTAACCTGCATGCCTCTAAGTCTTTTTGATCTGTACATCCTTTGCTTGCTGTGATCTGCCTGTACCGCTCGTAAACAAAGATTTTCATTGTGACAATAAAATCAAAATCAAAACAAGCACCATCAATGACTAAGCTAGTCGAGTCCTAGAGGACATAGCTGCTGAATTGGGTTTGTGGTAGGCAGTGAAAGAACCAACAAGAGGGAAAAACACACTTGACCTCATACACACCAATTTTCCGGCAGCAATTGCATCTGTCCAAGACACATCAGTGAAAACAACTTCCACATAGTCCTTGCAGAGACAAAGTCCAGTGTTCACATTAAGAATACCTTCTATCATAGTGCCACACAATATCACCATGCTAAGTGAGATAGTTTTCAAACAGATCTAGCAACTGAAGACTTGGCATGCACGCTGTGTTGAGGGACATCAGCAGCAAAATTGTACTCTAACACAATGTGCAATCACATGCCTGGCATATCACCTACTCTACTGCTACCAACAAACCAGGGAAGCACCCTGGTTCAATGTAGATTGCAGAAGGGCACATTAGGAGCAGCACCAGGTAAGGCTAAAACTGTTGTTTCAAGATGGTGAAGAAACAACACAGAACTACTTCTGTGCCAAACAGCATAAGCAGCAAGTGATAGAGATAAACTATTCCCAAACCAAATATCTGCAGTCCTGCCACATCTAAACGTGAATGGTAGTGGACAATTAAACAACTCGCTGGAGAGGATGTTCCACCAACATCCCCATCCTCAGTAACGGGGGAACAGCACATCAGTACAAAATAGGCTAAAGCATTCTTCAGCTCGAAGTCCTGAGTAGTTAATCCATCTCAGCCTCGTCCAGAAGTCCCAGCATCACAGATGCAAGTTTTAGCCAATTTGATTCCCTCCTTGATATCAAGAAATGGTTGGAGGTATGGAATATTGAGAAAGCTACAGGCTCTGATGACATTCCGGCTATAGTACTGAAGTGTTCCAAAACTTAAGTTGACCCAAGCCAAGCTGTTCCAATATAGTACAACATTGTGCACGATAGTACATCAAGTACTCAACAATGTTGAAATTTTCCCAGGTATATTCTGTACACAAAAAGCAGGACAAATCAAAACTGGCCAATTACTGCTCCACCATATGACTCTTCATCATCAGTAAAGCAATGGAAGATGTCATCAACAGTGCTAGCAATAACTTGCTCACTGATACTCAGTTTGAGTTCCACCAGGGTCATGCAACTTCTGAACAGTATAGTTTAAAGATGGAGAGAAAAGCTGAATTCCAGTGGTGAAGTTAGAGTGACTGCCCTTGACATTAAGGCTGTACTTGTCCAAGTATGGCATCAAGGAGCCCTTGCAATACTGGAGTCAATGGGAATCTGGGTGAAAACTCTCCAGTAGTGGGAGTCACACCTCAAACAAAGGAACATAATTATGGTTGTTGGAAGTTAGTCTTTTCAGCTCTGAGACATCATTGCAGGAGTTCCTCAGGGGAGAGTCCTTGGCCCAGCCATCTTCAGCTGCTTCATCAATGACCTTCCCTCCATTATAAGGTCAGAAATGGGGATGTTCGCTGAAGATTGTACCATTCACGACTCCTCAGATGCTGAAGCAGTCCATGTCCAAATGCAGCAAGACAACATCTAGGTATCCAATAACTACTGAAAAGTTATATTTGTGCCACACAGGTGCCAGTCAATGACCATCTCTAAAAAGAGAGAATCTAACCATCACCCTTTCACATTCAATTGCATTACCATCACTGAATCCACCACTATCAGCATCCTAAGGGTTACCATTGACCAGAAACAGAACTGGTCTAGCCATCTAAGTGCTGTGACTACAACAACATTTCAGAGGCTCACAATTCTGTGTTGAGTAACTCACCTCCTGACAATGCAAAGCTATCCACCAGCTACAGGGCACAAGTCGGGAGTGAAATGGAATACTCCCACTTGCCTGGATAAGCGCAGCTCCACAATGCTGCAGAAGCTTGAAACTAACTAGGAAAAAGCAATCCACTTGATTGACACCTCATCCACAAACATTCGCTCCCTCCACCACTGCCACTCAGTAGCAGCAGTGTGTACCACCTACAAGATGCAAAAATTTATCGAGATAGCACCTTCCAAATCCATAATCACTACCATCATGAATGAAAATGAGGATTGATTAAGGAAAAGCAGCATGAATATGCTTGAAGGCAATTTATGTTTTGCATAACTTGTTAAATTTTTGTTGGACTCATGAAGGTAATTTTTCTGAAGTTACCTGCCTGATGTCAAGACCATGACCTCCACCATTGGTATGGTAAGGAGGCAAATCCCGAATCCACACTGGTTGAAATAGGGATTAAGCCCCATGCTCCTGGCCCTAATCAGATTAACACTGTAGCAGTCCAGCTAAATGAGCCGATTGGCTGCTTTTCTTTCTCCCTTACCTCAAGACGTCCAAGTTGCAGTGGTGTTGTACCTGTTTGCTGTCACTCAGATGGAAGATGATGTCTACTCAGGGCTGCAAATTGTGACTGAACAGGCTTATTCTTGATTCATAGATTTATGAGCACAATGTCCCAGGATTTTGATTGCTTCCTTTTCTTTCCTTCTCTGTTGCCACTCTGCCTCAACATTAATGCATTTGGACTCAAAGCCTGATATAACCTGTTGGTTAAATTGCCAGTGGGAAAGAGTAGATAGTTAATGAGGGATGTTTGGTAAAATTTTGAGAGAAACCTCACTAAACCCAAGGCAAAAACATTCACAAACAGCTCAACGTAACTTGCCCAGCAAAAATAATTTAAATTTAATTTCCGATTGCATCTCCATCTTGCGATAACTATTCTTTGTTTTACAGAGGCACAGCAATAGCAGGTGTCGTATTTGGGATTGTCTTTCTCATGGGAGTGGTTGCTGGAATAGCTATTTGTATCTGCATGTGTATCAAAAACAGTGGGAGCACACGTGTGGGTGTGATACAGGCATCTCACATCAATACCGTCAGTCGATTCACTGGTAAGAAACAAAGAATCAGCAAAGTTTGCTTTAACAGTCATTTAATGAACTTGGACATATGTCAATTTCTCCATTTATCCATCTTGGCTTGTTGAACCTCCACTTGCTTTAATTTTAACCTCTAATCGTTTATTTTTGTGGAACTTAGTAATTACAAGATGAAAATAAAACAAATTCTGTCAAATTTGACTTGTAGAATTCTGATAGTCACATGTCTCAACAGTCATAGAAGTGTTGAGTGATCATGACATAAATTTTTTGTTACAATAATGAAGTTTGTAAGGAGGAAGGTCACTGGGCCTGAAACGCTAACTCTGATTTCTTCCCACAGATGCTGCCAGACCTGCTGAGTTTCTCCACTAACATTTGTTTTTATAGGACAGGTATAATTTGGAACGGTGTCATTAAGGTAAAATTACGGGAGGGTCATGTGACCTGGCTAAAAGAACTACCTTCACAGAACTGACCCACAGCCAGTTGCTTCTATTTTGAAATCCACATTCATAATAACAATAATATACATTTTACACATTTTATCACAGCCTCCCCTGTTAAACACAGGCTGCTGCCGTTGTTTACAAATATAAATGCCTTATACTTCTTTCCAGTAAAACAATCTAAACCTTTTTTTCCTTTTTTTGAGGAAACTTGAAATCATTGAAACTGTGCATCAAAACAGAATTAACTGGAGAAACTCAACAGGTCTAGCAGCATCTGTGGAGACAAAGCAGAGTCAATGTTTCAGGTCCAGTACCCTGCTTCAGAATTGATAGTAGCTAGGAATAGTTTGCATATTTGCTGAAGACAGGTTGGAGGAGGGGAGCATGATTTTTTTAAAGTCCTATTATTCTCTACATGGACTGTAACACTTTCTCAATTAGTCTGCAACAGACACAGAATTAACCCACAATGGTGGAATGCTTTAGGAATCAAAGGTTTAAAGTCTCGTTTTTCTCCCTACCATAAAATAATTGTCCAATGCCACATCTCAGATTACTCATAAATTGATTCCAAAATGTCTTTGAAAGGAAATATATCTAATCTGCCTTGTAATGTGTAAATCTCCACTTATCTAGTCATTTCTTATGTTAACTTTGCCTTTATCCATTCTTCTACACTGCCTATGTCTCAATACGTGTTAGAACCACAGAAATAAGAACAAGAGTGGGCCTTTTGGTCTATTGAGCGTCCTCCACCATTCAATGTTATCATAGCTAATCCTATATTTCAATGCTAAACTCCCATTCTCTCCTCATGCCCCTTGACCCCTTTATAATCTAGAAATTAATCTACTTCACTCTTAATTTTTTTTATCTCTTCTTAAGAGAGAGACAAGAGTGGACATTGGACCACTGGAAAATGAGGCTGGAGAAGTAGTAATGGAGAGCAAAGAAATGGCAGAGGAACTGAATAAGTACTTTGTATCAGTTTTCACAGTGGAAGACACCAGCAGCAGACCAGAACTTCAGGAGAGTCAGGGAACAGAGGTGGGTAAAGTGGCCATCAATAAGAAGACGGTGCTAGGGAAGCTGAAAGGTCTGAAGGTGGATAAATCACCTGAACTGCTGGACTACACCCCAGAGTTCTGAAGGAGATAGTTGAGGACATTGTAGAGGTATTGATGGTGATCTTACAGGAATCACTGGAGACGAGCAGGGCCCCAGAGGGCTGGAAAATAGCTAATATAACAAAAGGGATGGAAGTAAAAGACAGGAAACTATAGGCTGGGTAGCCTGACTTCAGTCATCGGCACATTTTTAGAGTCTGTTGTGAAGGATGAGATGTAGAGTACTTGAAAGTGCATGGTAAAATAGGACAGAGTCAGCACAGCTTCATTCTTGGGAGGTCATGCCTGACAAATCGATTAAAATTCTTTGAGGAGGTGATGAGCAAGTTAAACAAAGGAACACCAGTGGACATGATCCAATCGGATTTCCAGAAGGCCTTCGACATTGTACCACACAGGAGGCTACAAAATAAATTAAAAGCCCATGGTGTTAGGGGCAAGCTACTGGCATGGATAGAGGATTGGCTGACTGGCAGAAGGCAGATAGCAGGGATAAAGGGGTCTTTTTCAGGATGACAGCCTCTGACTAGTGGAGTTCTACAGGAGTGTGTGTTTGGACCATAAGTTGACAAACTGGATGAAGGAACCGAGGGCATTGTTGCTCAATTTGCAAATGACACAAAGATAGGTGGAGGGACAGATGGTGCTGAAGAAGCAGCGAGCTGCAGAAGGACTTGGACAAGCTAGAAGAGTGGACACAGAAGTGGCAAGTAGAATACAATGTGGGAAAAGATGAGGTACATTTTGGTAAGAGGAATAGAGGTGTTTTCTAATAGGAAATCTGAAGCACAAAGGGACTTGGGAATCCTAGTTCAGTATTCTCTTAAAGTTAACATGCAGGTTCAATTGGCAGTTAGGAAGACAAATGCAACGTTTGCATTCATTTCAAGAGGGCTAGAATACAAGAGCAAAGATGTACTGCTGAGACTTTATAAGGCTCTGGTCAGACCACATTTGGAATGCTGGAAGTAGTTTTGGGCCATGTATCTAAGGAAAGATGTGCTAGCATTGGTGAGGGCTCAGAGGAGGTTTACAAAAATGATCCCAGGTCTGAAGGCCTTGTCATATGAGAGGCAATTGGGATGTTCTTGCTCTCGAGGTAGTGCAGCGAAGGTTTACCAGACTGATTCCAGGGACTGACGGTAAGGATTGTTTTTGCTGGAGTTCAGACGAATGAGGGGGGATCTCATAGAGACTTATAAAATTCTAAAAGGACTAGACAGGGCAAATGCGGGGAGGATATTCCTGATGGTGGGTGTGTCCAGAACCAGGCGTCACAGACTGAGGATTTGGGGTAGACCATTTGGGATGGAGACGAGGAGATATTTCTTCACCCAGAGAGTGGTGAGCCTGTGGAATTCATTACCACAGGAAGTAGTTGACGCCAAAACATTGAATGGATTCAAGAGGTGGCTAGACATAGCACTTGGGGTGAATGGGATCAAAGGTTATGGGGAGAACAGGACTAGGCTGTTGAGTTGGATGATTAGCCATCATCATGATGAATGGCAGAGCAGGCATGAAGGGCCGAATGACCTCCTCCTGCTCCTATCTTCTATATTTCTATATATCTATGATTGAGTGCTGTGGCTCTATACTTGAAGTTTAGATGGATGATGGGGATGTGACTGAAACAGTCAGGATACTTAGGGGCCTGGATAGAGTGGAAGTGGAGAAGACGTTTCTATTAGTAGGAGAGACTTGGACCAGAGGACACAGCCTCAGAGTAAAGAACTGAGATGAGTAGGAATTTCTTCAGCCAGAGTGCAGTTAATCTGTGGAATTTACTGTCACAGAAGACTGTAGAGGCCAAATCATTGCGCATATTTAAAACAGAAATAGATAGGTTCTTGATTAGTAAAAGGATCAAAAATTTTGGGGACAAGGCAAGAGAATGGGGTTGAGAAATGTATCAGCTATGATCAAAAGGCAGAGCAGACTCTATGGGTTGAATGGCTTAATTCTGCTCTTATATCTTATGGTCTTATTGTCTTTTTAACATTTTTATTCATTTTTTTGTACAATGGCCCTATTTGCTGTTAACCTTGATTTCCCCTGTTGTTTACTTTAGCTTTCTACTTTTCTCGCTTTCATTTCTAATTTTGTTTCTCTTTGCTATGCCTTCCCACTCAGGCTCCCTCCCCCCCATCTCATTCTATTTAAACCCTAATACCAGTGAATGACCCTGGAGGATATTAGGCCCAGTCCTGCTTGAATAGAATTCATCCAACTTGTACAGCTTCCATTTTCCCCAGAATCAGACCCAACATGTCAGAAATCTAAATCTTCCTTTCTACAACATCTCTCCAGCCACTAATCTTGTCAGTTCTGTTCCAAACCATGCAACTACTTAGGAGATAGCAAGAACTGCAGATGCTGGAGTTAGAGTCAATACAGTGTGGAGCTGGAGGAACACAGTAGGTCAGGCAGCATCAGAGGAGCAGGAAAGTCGACGTGATGAAGGGCGTAAACTTGAAATGTCAACTTTTCTGCTCCTCTGATCTTGCTAATGCTTTGTACTGGGAGTAATCCTGAGATTACTACCTTTGAGGTCGTGCCTTTTATTTCCCAGCTCCCCCTTTTCTTTTACCTGTGTCATTGGTACTGACGTTGACCACAAGCCTAGCACCAGGGAGGCAACATAACTGGTGTGACATCTGTAGCCACAGAAACAACTAGCAGTTCCCCTTATGATAGAATCTAGTATCATTATTGCTCTTACACTTTTTTCTCCCTCTCAACCAGTGCAGCTGAGCCACACGTGGTGACACAGACTTGGTTGTTGCTACATTCCCCTGAGAAACCATCTCCCCCAGCAGTAACCAAATGGAAAATCTGTAAGACTGGGAGGAAGACCCTGGGACTCCTGCACTACCTTTCTAGTGCTTTTACTCTATCTGGTGGTCACCCATTTACTTTATGCCTTTATTAACTGCGCTGTGAGCACCTCACTGTATATATAATCGACAAAAATCTCAGTCTTGCGGATTCACCATAGTTATTCAAACTCCTGCTCCAGATCCAAAATGTAGATTTCCAGCAACTGCAACTGGAGACAATATCTGCACATGTAACAGACACCAATTTTCCCTCTAAGCTGTACCACGCTGAGGATCTGCGCGTGCTGATTAGCATGCTGACATATTCACTTCACTTCCTCCAGCACTTTCTGTACACAGATCTTGGAGATCCATGCAGAGGCTGGAGAAATTAGAGAGAATTAGGTAGTCACTTAGTGTCCCTAAATTCGAACATGATCAAGCTGCCCTGCTATGTCTTACCCTTATCACTTTAATTCCTTTAAGTTAAAGAATATTAAATACACACTTGGGACATCACCTCACTTCTTATACCTTAAACACTGCTAAATCTAAACTATTAGGACTAATTTTTTACTTTAAAGACTGTACCATAACAACACTCACCCATGTCA